ATTTACTCATTCTATTTGACTAATTTTTGGGAGCGTAGGTAGGCGCACCGTTGGAGTTGACACGGCGTTCATCACTGTAGGGGGTAGGAAAGGTCCCGGGTTCGAACCCAGCGGCCCAGCATGCAAAAACACCGAGGGTTGATATGACCTTTGTTCTTGCGAACCCTCGTAAAATATTTTAAAAAACACATTCTATTCTGAGAAACCTTCTACTCAAAATTTTATCAAAGGGAGAAAATACAATATAGAAATACAACTAAAGCAACATTAATCTACTACACAAAATCGGCTGATATCATAAATCAGTCAGACACGAAGAAAGTACAGAAAGCAAGAGCTCACCTTACACAAAACGATCACAAAAAAACAGCATTACAGACAAGCGTAAAATTGCTCGATGGTGTACGAATGGCCAATACGAAGTATTCTTTTATCTCGGCTTTCAAGAAACAACTTATGAAGTCTTAACTTTATTAAGATCAACAAAAGCTCAAATTATTTGCACTATTAAAACACTGCTCAAATCTGAAAATTGAAATATTTTCAAAATGGAAAAGAAAAAGAACCGATGATCACGACCAACTGGAACTAGCCAAAACAACCAGACTTAGGCCCTACTCGCACGAGGAGACTCAAGTCCTGAAGGACTGAGATACATCCTGGGCGACCTAGAGACCCGTCATGAGTATGTAGGCGGTGTAGTTACTCCCTGTGATAGGTCTGATGATGACCATCGTAGTCTAGATTGCTTCACCGATGGCTCACTCATTAAGGATAAGGGAAGTGGTGCTGGAATACACATACCTAAATTAGGGATCAGCATCTCCTATCATCTTGGTAATAACACCTCGGTCTTTCAGGCAGAGGTCTGGGCCATTAATGTTTGCTGTAGAACACTGATGGATAACAATATTAAGGGAAAAGATATTAGAATTTTTTCCGACAGTCAGGCCAGTCTGAAATCACTACAAAAAGAGTTATCAACATCTAGGCTGGTAGAGGAAACCGTTGAACTCATTAATAGGATTACTACCAGGTATGAGAATAAGGTAACCCTCATATGGATACCTGCTCATAAGGGGCACCATGGCAATGAGGAGGCGGACAGCCTGGCCAAGGAAGGATCAAATACTGCGTTTGTCGGACCACAACCGGTATTACCCCACTTTTAAGCACAGCAAAAGAGAGTATAGGTAGCTGGAGCATGAAACAATTCCTTAAAGAATGGAATATGTCCCCCGGATGCAGGCAATCGAAGGAGTTTCTGAAGGAAATCAAACCTAAAGAAACGAAATGGTTGTTCTCTCACTCTAGGAGGGGAATTAGGAGGCTGATAGGTATCCTAACGGGCCATTGCCCCTTGAGAAGACATCTCTTCATAATGGGTACTCTACCAGACCCTTTTTGCCGCTTCTGCGAAACAAAGGAAGAAACGGCTCGACACTACCTTGCAGAATGCGATAGGTATGCTAGGGAAAGATTTGATACTTTCGAAGGAGAGGACATAACTAAAACACTCCCCAGGATAAAATGGTCCACAATCTTGGGGTTTGTAAATAGGTCCAAAAGGTTTATGCAGGACTCGTGAGCCGACCAGGTCCCGGACCTTTTAGGGATGGGGTACGGGCCTACTCAGGCTTTTAACCCCTCGGGTCCTGGTCGCCCGCCCTGTGTAATATATATATATAGTTTTAAGACTCAAAATATCCTATGGCTCATTAATCCGGTGAACCAAAGCACTGCAGAAACTAGCTACCCAAACATTAGGCTGCATATAAAGAGGCAAACCTATATATGACAATAAAAACATCCCCTTCAATTCATTAGAAACTTTGCTAAACCTACCTCCATTAGAAGAAATATTTATAGAAGGAAAAACGAGTAAAAGCTCATTTAGCCTTGAGAAACAATCAAACTGGATGGGAACTAAACACTTCGGGCACACAACTAACAAATAAAATCAGACACCCGTTCCTAGAAATGGGGACTGCCTACAAGATCCCGGAAATACTCTTTACAACATTCTATAAAGTCTCAACAGACTGCAAAGTAGAAGAAGAATTCTTGAGGAAATCAGATACAATGATATGGTATACATCCAAAATAAATAATGGAATCGGATCAGGCGTTTTCTGTACAAGCCCAAAACATGAGGGATCAAACTCACTAGAGAAATACACCTCGGTCTTTCAAGCTGAAATACATGGCAACAATTCTTATGCCTTAGGAAATCTTAAAAGAGGTTTCACTACCAAATAAATCCTCATAAGGTCGGATAGCCAAACAGCTATTAAAGCATTAGCATATAAAAATCACACCAAAACTAGTCAGTGTATGCTACCAAAATCTCCAAAACCAGGGGGACATAACAACCAGATATCTTGGGTACCAGAACATAAGGGAATTTTGGGTAACGAAAAAGCAGACATACTGGCCAGAGGAGGATCAAAAAATAGGCGTTTAATATTTTTTGTCTTAACTTAACTAACATAATAATTCAATTCACTAGTTTCGTGGTCCGCTGGACCAATTAATATATTACAATTAATTAAGGTTTTCAGTTGAGATAAAAAAGTGAAGTTGAAAAATGGCAAAAAGGAGAGAAAATTCAAAAGGTGTGGTTGAGATGGAAAGTTGATGTCCGAGTGGATCGAGGTCACGATAGCTCAAGTGGTAGAGCAGCGGCGTATCAAGCCGAAGATCGTGGGTTCGAATCCTGCTCGTGCCAATGTCTTTTTTATCTTAACTGAAAACCTTAATTAATTGTAATAACGTAATAACTTTTTGTCATAACTTTGCCATTTTTTGACCGATTTAAAATCCGATTGCTCCATTGTTTTCAGCGTAGAAAAACATTTAAAATAATGTGTAATGATGTATAGGGTCGTATTTGAAATTTTGAAGTTGAACTGGGCCTGATGTAGTCTGCATAATTTTTCTCCAAAGAAAGATTTTTTTTATAGCGTCATTAGTTCAAGAGAAATTCAGCCGGACCATCTAAAAAGCACACTGTATAGGCCCTCAACCTAGTCTTGGAATAACAAAAACAAACACAGAATTCTCCATCACAGAATGGCTCCATAAAAGGTAGAAGTGGATAAACTCTTGAGGTGCTAGATACACTAAACACATGCTAAAACAATTCTCACCAAGACAGGCAAACTCACTAAGCTCGGAGGAGTGATAGGACTACATACTGGTCGCCGGCATCTGAGAAAACATCTACACAACACCGGCATATTTAATAATGAGCCAATCTGTAGATTAAACGACGAGGGGGAAGAAACAGCCACCAATATCATCTTCGAATGCGAAGCAACCGCTCAATGGAAACAAAATCAGGGATACAATGAAAACCTAGGGAATGGAATTGCAACAACGTCAGTCAATGGCCTACTACTTCTTAAGAGAAGGATCGAGCCGACAGACTGAACTAAGGAACTTAGTTGCTTGGGGAACAAAAATCTCCATTTCCTAGTCTTCTTTCATTATCATCATCATCATCATATGAACATGTAAAAAAGACCCAACTGAACAGAAAACCACACAAAACGAAAAGCAGAAACCTATCTGTTAGACCAACACAATGTGTCAATGACATGTTACATTACATCATCTCTCAGTACTGGAAAACATTTGTATCCATATTTGAGCTATATTTTGTCGTTAAAGAGGAGTAAAGTTAAGTTCAATCGTCGGGACTAAATTTTATATTTCGCTGTTGTTAAAGTGGTTAATGGTTTTCTTTTTCGTTGCAAAGTTTTCAATTAGTTAACAAAAGTTGATCGAACTTTCAAATCGTGTTCATGCTAAAATATTGCCTTCGAAACAGGAAGTACAACAGTCCTGGTTATTGTATTTGTTTCATATTTTACTGTTATAGACACACTTGTTTCCTAGTCGGTTTTTTTCAGCCGGATATTCATCCCCACTCGAATCCTTTTTCGAATTTTCGCATTTGTATTGTCCGCCTAATGATCAGAATATCCTTTTTGAACTAATGATGATTAAAAAAAACACACACACGATATTACTGCTTAAAAGTGGGTCGGAAGGAATGCCTTTACTAATTTTTGTAAAATGTTCCTATCAACTAAGTCCAGGAAAAATAGTAGAGACAAGAATGTTCAACCAAAAGAGCCAAGGACAAAAGTAGGAGTCTGCAACCAAAGATGACTATGTATTGGTTATCAGACTCAGTATTGCCTGTAACTGTAGTCAGACTTGGCCTTAGACTATTTTTTTTATAAATGACTTTTAGTAAGTTTTACGAGACACAACTACTGAATCCAAGGCTATAAGGAGCATTAAACATGTTTTCACTATGGCATGCTGCCTATACCAAATTTGATCTTGAATACCCTTGAACTTAAAACTTTCATGATGGAGCCTTCTTTAGATCTCAGTCATGGATCCGAAACATAAGGGAATTTTGGGTAACGAAAAAGCAGGACTTTTCTTCAGAGTTCCGGGTTCTTTTTTTGGGGTCTACAAGAGTTTTGAGAGTGTTTGATCGCAAAAATTTCCCTGGTTCCTTAGATACATTGATTTTGCAAAGAGTGCACTGAAGTAGTTTAGTTATCAATGTTATACTGGGATGTGCTATAGTTTTTAATTTAATTTTATTTTAAGTTTTTATTATTAATTTTTTAAATGAAAATAATATTTTGAATTTAAGTAAACTCCTCCGGCCACCAGCAGACCGTTTTATAATCTATGCTGTTTAAGTACTTTATGACTAGGTATTTTCTTTTTGTAAATAGAGTTTTCCATTCAGTTTTTTGTTTATCTAAAACTCACTAGTTTTTACTACTGGGTGATTTGGTAATAAATGTTCATTTTTGTAAACATATAGTGTATACAGGTAGTGAAAATAGTATTATTGACAGAAAATATTTTGGTTGAACTGCACAAATTAATCGTTTTTAAGATGGGATCTTTTCAAAATATATTATGAAAGAGAGAAAAAAAGATTATTTACATACTAAATATTTATTTCTCTATACAGCTAAAAACAAATATAAATACACAAACTCTAGGAAATAGTTCTAATGTAAAAATCATTCGTCCGCACTTTGCACACATAGATAAATAAATAAATAAAAAATAAATTAATAAACCACAAATATTTGTGTTTCCCCTACTACCACCACCAAATTTCAGCCGGGCTAGATGAACCAAGCCGCCGTGAAATTCCCTCTCGCGGATTTAAGGTAAGTCGAAATCCCAAGAGATTTTGAGAAGTGAAGAAAATCTTTTCGATCGAAAGTTGTCATGTCCAGGATAAAAAGCAGCGAGCACGAAATATTTCCGTTTCATCTAGCGTGATCGTTCTGGTCGGTCGATTTTCAAAAATGTCATGTACGGTCTTGATAAAGTTCAATTTTGATAAATAACTGGCGATGTTGTTCAACCACAATTTTATAGAAGCTAAGTGTTCTACATTAACAGCTTTCGAAGGCTTTGACTAGATTTCTAATGTTGTATGTTGTTGTAATTTCATGGTCTGTTTGTACGTTCCAAATAGTACGTCGGGGAGGTCAAAGAAATGAGACGTTACGTCGGAAAATAGAATTACATCTGTCATTAATAACACGATGTCGATTTTAGGAATCAACGTTTTTTCCCCCTCTTGTAGGCTTTATTAGGCCTTCAATCGGTGTCATCGCGTAGGATTCGTAAGTGTGCCAATTCATTATACAGACAAATCATTCGGATTTCGTCGTCAGGTAGAATTTAACAAATCAGAAATCATAAACACACTACATCACTGAGCAATCGTTTCAATTGGTTGGGCTTTCAAGCTTCTCGCGTGTACGAGCTTGTTGATGTCGTTGAAAGTCGTCACCATGGGTGAAGAGTTGTCGGCGATCGTCGTCGGCGCGATGCAGATGTTGTGGACCGCTTCGCATTTGATGCCGTCCTGGCCGTCCTTGGCCGCTTTCATGTACCTGAAGAACCTCAGGATCTCCGGGTTGTCAGACGAAGGCTTACGAAGTTCGTTAAGCTCCCTTAAAGCAAAATGAAACAATTAATTAAAACGTTCTGGTTAGCATGGAAAATAAAAGTCTTAATACCATAGTTTGGCATAGCCAAAATTTTGAGAGGAAGAAAAGTTCTCGTCTGTATTTAACCACTTCAATCAAGAACAGCCTTACAATAAAGTTTGAGGTATTGGGATGAACACATAAAACTGATCAACACTGATCAGTTGGCACTGACCGAGTTATAGCCGAACTTTATACATGTCTTAACTGCCCATGGTTATGATAACTCTATGCGAGATGTGCTAAGTAATTTTCACCCATTTACTTTATAATTTGTGAGCGGGTCGCAAAAGAATACATAATTTTATATGTCGATAAATGACAAAATTAATGTTTAAAAAAGTTCAAAATTATTAAATTTTTGGGCTTATTGTTGGTTAATATCAACATATTTTCAACAGCGATAGTAAGGAATTAGAGGAGAAATGTTCAGTGCTTTGTGAATGGCTCCCAAAAGCATAATTCATTTTATATATGAATAGATTAAAAATCAATGTTTAAAACCGTTCAAAATTATTATATTTTTAGGTTCATTGTTAGTATATAAAAATATTTGCAGTACCGATAGATAAATAAGGGATAAGTTCTTAGAGGTGAATGTTTAGTGCTTTGTGAGGAACTCCCAAAAGCATATTTCATTTTATGTGTCGACAAATAAAACAAAAATGTTTAAAACTGTTCACAATTATTACATTTTTGGGTTTATTGGTAGTTAATATCAAAATATTTTCAATAGCGATAGTAAGGAATGAATTCGTAGAGGAGAAATGTTCAGTTCTTTGAGAATGGCTCCCAAAAGCATACTTCATTTTATAAGTCGATAAATTTAAAAAAAATGTTTAAAACTGTTCAAAATTATTACATTTTTGGGTTTATTGGTAGTTAATATCAAAATATTTGCACTATGGAATGATAATAAGGATTGAGCTCTTAGAGGTGAAATGTTCAGGGCTTTGTGAGTGACTCCCAAAAGCATACTTCATTTTATACGTCGATAAATTAAAAAAAAAAAAACATGTTTCAAAATGTTCGAAATTATTTCAATTTTGGGTTCATTGTTAGTAAATATAAAAATATTTGCAGTACCGATAGATAAATAAGGGATAAGCTCTTAGGTTGAATGTTTAGTGCTTTGTGAGGAACTCCCAAAAGCATATATCATTTTATGTGTCGATAAATAAAAATAAAAAAAATGTTTACAACTGTTCAAAATTATTACATTTTGTAAGTTTATTGGTAGTTAATATCAAAATAGTTGAACTATCGACTGATAATAAGGAGTAAGCTCTTAGAGGTGAAATTTTCAGTGGTTTGTGAGTGACTCCCAAAAGCATACTTCATTTTATATGTAGATAAATTTAAAAAAAAACATGTTTCAAACTGTTCGAAATTATTTCATTTTTGGGTTTATTGGTAGTTAATACCAAAATATTTGCACTATCGACTGATAATAAGGAGTGAGCTCTTAGAGGTGAAATGTTCAGTGCGTTGTGAGTGACTCCCAAAAGCATACTTCATTTTATAAGTCGATAAATTTAAAAAACATGTTTAAAACTGTTCGAAATTATTTCCTTTTTGGGTTCATTGTTAGTTAATATAAAAACATTTGCAATATCGATAGATAATAAGGATTGAGCTCTTAGAGGTGAAATGTTCAGTGCTTTGTGAGTGACTCCCAAAAACATACTTCATTTTATAAGTCGATAAATTAAAAAAACATGTTGAAAACTGTTCGAAATTATTTCCTTTTTGGGTTCATTGTTAGTTAATATAAAAACATTTGCAATATCGATAGATAATAAGGATTAAGCTCTTAGAGGTGAAATGTTCAGTGCTTTGTGAGTGACTCCCAAAAGCATACTTCATTTTATAAGTCGATAAATTAAAAAATAAATGTTTAAAACTCTTTAAAATTATTAAATTTCTGAGTTATTGTTAGTTAATATCAAAATATTTTCTATATTTTATAGTGATTTGTGGGTAGGCTCCCAAATGCACACTTCATTTTATACGACGATAGATGACAAAATAAATGTTTAAAACTGATCAAAAATATCATACTTTTGTGCTTTGACGATTTATCAAAAGATATTCCAAATCAATAGTGAGAAATCCGCTCTTGGAATTGAAATGTACTGGGCGAAAGTCCCCTCGAGTATATAGGTAACCACAAATGGAAAAAAAATTAAAACTGTTCGAAATTATTGTATTTATTACGCTTTGATCATTACTCAAAAAATGTTTGTAATTCGTTCGGGAATCTATTCTTAGAGCTGAAATTTGTAGTACTTTGTGATACCAAATAGTGCATTATATAAAGCAATATACGATAAATAGCAGCATAAATATTTAACACTATTATAAAGAAAGGAAAAAAATAGATAAAATATTATATTTATGTGCTTTGTTGAATTGTCAAATAATGTTCAAAACAATAGTGAGGAATCCTTGTTTGGTGCTGAAGTACGCAGTCCTTTATGTGTGGGGTCCAAAAAAAAATATATTTAATTTTATTGGCCGATATATGACAAAATAAATATTTAAACTGTTCAAAATTATAGTATTTTGATTGAAATATGAAGTACTTTATGGTAGGCAGTTTTCAGTCCTTTTTTTTACATAGCCTGTTTGTATGTTCGATTTTATATATATTCATATTTGAGTATAATTAAACTACATTTTATACGAAACTTCCAGAGGCATGAGAGCCACTTTTGCCTTTTTTTTGTAATATATGCTGTGAAAGAGGACGTAACATCGTTCAAGTAGAATAAAGCAATCCTTTGGAAAATAATGGATAATAGAACAGGTCCCATCATATCAGACTTTTGTTATTTTGCTTGAAAGAGCATAGGAATGTAATTATCGCGGAACAATGGAAGGACTTAATTATGGTATTTATTACTTTTTTATATATTTATATTATTATTTTGATTTATTTTCAGCCGTCTTATGTATTTTACCTGTTGGGCGTCGGTCCCAGGCCGGAAATAAAGACACGTACACCGCTCTATCAAAAGGTGAGTCACGATCCCTCCGAAAGAGGCTAAATTGAAAGAAAGTCACCATATAAACAGTGGGTGCCCGAATGTCACGTGCGATCCACATACCGCCGGGATCAGAGGATCACAAAAAAAAACCTAGTATCCGGGACACTCACATTTTCTTCCCTTTACTTTCTTTCTCGGAGTCGCTCCGTTTAATCTCCTGACACGTCGACAATGTGGAAAACAGATCAGAAATGGAAATGTCCAGCTAAAAGGAAAATCTGGCTTTCTTTTCTGTTTTTCACTTGAAAAAAGACCCACAGAATCGCACATCGTTGTGATCTAGATATGTAAATTAAATAGATTGGACGACTTATTTTATTCGAAGATGATTACTGTTAGCGGTTCAACTTGCGTGTGATTTTTTTAACGGTTCTCTACTAAATAAGTAAGTCATTTCCGCGACAAGTATCCTTATTATTTAGGTATTTATTCTAGTTTCTCCAAACGCCGAAAAGGACACAGGATTGAAATTCACTATCGTCCTCGAACAGCGAAACGCCGCTTCAGGATGTGCGACACAGTGACAGTTGTGACAGCCAGGATCCATCGTTCACCTGTGTGTCCGGAGACAGTTGCAAATCGCACAAGTGTCGTCCTATTCTCTGGTGTCTCGTCGTTATATACTTTATACGATAATTTCAATATTTTGTTTACCATAGCGACGTGAAAGTACTTGTAGTACTCGTTTACCGTGAAATAAATCCTTACTCTGAGAGAGAAAGAAGGAAAAGTCGTTTTTCACAATAACTCAAAGCAAACAGGACATGTCGTGACCTGTTTGACACTCTTACCTACACGACAATATATATAAAAAAAACTTTTATTTTTGAAATAATAAAAACTTTTGAAGCGACACAATTAATTAATTATCTCTACTAAGTAATGCTTAAAACTTAGTCCACTAGTAAGCGATCCTTTGTAATACTAATAAGCATGTGAATTTTAATCAAACCATAACATTCTTCATTTTAAATTTTAAACTTAATTTAAAAATAATGTCTTCTATTTAAAAATAATTCATTTTATATTGTGATTAATATTTTTAAGAACTTTAAAAACTTTTTATTATCAATTAAAAGTTTATCAAAGACAATCTGACGTCTTCATTAACCAAACAATATAATCTAATTAAAAATATATGAAATAAAACAGACACAAAGCATTCAAAATTATCAGAATTATTATTCGGAGATGTTGAGATGACGTCTGGTGTGACGAAAAACATATTCTTTATCGTGCCAACGTTTCGATCTTTATTGAGATCATCTTCAGGGCCTGGGATTTATATTGTATAAATTCATTTTTTAATTTAAAATCATCATTCATTAAAAATCTCATCACATAAAGAAAATGTTTTTCTAAAATCTACGTCACACCAGACGGCATCTCACGATCTCCGACTAATCATTGATTAACGGTCACTAATCACTACACATTCTCAGAATTATTGAATTTTTGAACTTTCATTAATATACTAAATATTTTCAAGATTTTAGTAGCTGAATAAGCAGTGTGAGGGACTCACAAAACACACTTCTTTTTATGTATCGATAAATGACAAAATAATTGTTTAAAATGTTTATTTCAGAATTACTGCATTTTTTTGGCTGTAGTTAATAGTAAAAAATGTTCCAAGTCACTAGTTATGAATCTACTCTTAGACTTAGCATATGAAGTTCTTTGTTAGGGATTTCAAAAAAAATATTTCCTTTTATAAATAATTTAAATATACGTTCATAAATTCACGAACTGAATGTTTAAAAATTTTCCTTAGTGAATTATTCAAAAATATGCTTGTAATCTAGTGAGGAATCAGCTCTTGGACCTAAATTATGAATTGCTTTGTGAGAGGCTCACAAGTATCCTTCATTATATGTATCATTAAATGACATAATAACCGTTTACAAGTTTTCAAAACTATCGTAGTTTTTTTAGCTGTCAAAAATGATAAAAAATGATAGTAAGGAATTCGCTCTTGGGGCTGCGTTATGCAATGCTTTGTGAGGAAAAATACATACTTCGTTTTATTTTTGACAAAATTAATGTTAGAGACAATTCAGAATTATTGTATTATTGGGCTTTGGTTAATACTAAAAAAAATATTTGTATTCGGTAGTGATGAATCAGTTCATGGACCTTGAAATATGAAGTGCTATATGAGGCGCTCAGAAAAACATGCCTCATTTTACATGTCTATAAATGAAAAAATAAACGTTTAAAAATTCAAATTATTGTATTTTTTGCTTTGAAAAGTTATCAAAAATGTTCGAAATCGATAGAGAGATGGATATAGAGAAATGGACTCTCGAGGGGGCTTTTGCAGCTGAATTATGCAATGCTTTATGAGGGGTTCACAAAACTATATATGTCGATAAATGTTTAAAAATTCAAAATTATTGTATTTTTATAGCTTTGTAAAATTATCAAAAATATTGGAAGTAGATAGTGAGTGATTCTCGAGGGGGGCTTTTGAAGGTGAATTATGCAATGCTTTATAAAAGGCTCACAAAAAACATACTTCCCTTTATATTTTTCTGTATGGCGAAATGAATGTCGAAAACCGTTCAAAATTATTGCATTTTTACGCTTCGATAAATACTAAAAAAATTGTAGCCGATAGTGAGAATTCGGTCATGAAACTTATGAATTATGAAATGCTTTGTGAAGAGAGTACAAAGTACCTGATTCATTTTATATATTAGTAAATGATAAAATAGTTGAATGTTGACAACTTCAAAATTATCGTATTTTTTGCTTCTTTTCCAAATCGATAGTGAGAAGTCCGGTCGTCGAGTTGAATTAAGCAGTGCTTTTTGCTGGGCTCCCCAAAACATACTTCATTTTATATTTCGATACATGTCAAATGTTTAAAACTGCTCAGAATTATCGGATTTTTGTGATTTATCGATATTCACAATATTTTCACAAGTGCTAGTGAAAAATCCGTTAGTACAGCTGACTGGTAGTGCTTTGTGAGCTTCTTTCAACATTTTTGTTTTAAATATTTCGCTAACTGACCTAAATAATTGACTAAATTATTATCATTTGTAGCCCATATTAACAGCCAGAATTGTGCCAAAATGGTAAATGAGAAATCTTCTCCTGGAGCAGAAAAATACATTTCCTATGAAAATATAGTAACGTAATATAAAATTTAGTAGAATACATTTCCCTTTTTGCTATTTAAGAGTAAATGGAAAGTTTTTCAAGCAGCATTGGCAATAAAATAGTCGTATTTTTCAGTAATTAAAAATTTTATGCATTTTTGGTTACTTAAGTTGAATCACTACGCAATTTACTTAATAAAGTTATTCCATTTTTTAATCTAAACGAAGATATAATACTGCTAAACATTCTAAGCTCTTAGGTTCAAATTTCTTGTTGATAAACTGCCGTTGATCAACATTATACATTGTCAAGACCTATTTGGCTTTGCCTACGCCCGGCACACATTCGTCGTTTTCGAAAGTCGAACGAGGTCAATAGTTAACTCCGTACACAAAGGTTTCCGGCTCGGAAATGTACGATATTCCAGTCTCTCGGTGGATCTTTCATTCTCTAAATCTTCACCGATAAAAACAGTGGCGAGATTGACCTCATAGTACGGATTCTGGGACCGCTTTCAAACGACTTCCGGTCAACCTGCGAGGATCCTCGTCGCAGATTAATGTGTTCCTATAACCCGGTGAAAGTAAGATGTTCAAGTTTTGCCTCGTTTTGAATTAGTTCGAAAAAAACTTTCATCTCCAAACGATAGAAAGTTTAAATAGGGCTATCGAGGAATTAGTGCATCCATTATAAACCCTGCCAATTTGCCGACTCTAAGAACTATTTCATTCTAAGTGGTGACCTCGTAAAAGAAAATAACAAATATTCTCCGCAGTGTCTCAGGTTCTATGTCTACTGAATCTACATGAGTTCGTTAATGCCAATTGTCTTTCAGTGGAGTGTCCTGACAAAAAATTCATTCTGGTTATCATCGTCATGCTATGAATATTGCTCTTAGGCATTATATCATTCACTTTTACACGAAATTCAGAAGTAGGCAGGACCAACTCGGTACTGCTTGTCATCTGCTATAAAAAGTTTTATTCGTGCATTCCTACTCTGCAGAATGATTCATCACACAGGAGCTCATTAAGGAACATGTGCATCCGCCTGTTCATTTCCATTCACCTCAATTCTAGTATTTTTTTGGATCGTCAAAGTCGACTTGCGTTTCTCTAGACGTCGATTATGCGGAATGATGGATGCTTAACAATTTGCCCGTCCACTGTTCAAATTGAATCACTCAATTGCCTGAATCATGTGACCTAATCTTTTGTCCCATAATACATATACCAATGAGAATAAATGGAAATGTGTTTTTCATAAAGCTTCATATTTATAACAATATTTTCAAAAATACATCTTGTGTATGCAGTGAAAAAACACAAAATAAAATGTTTCTAAGTCAGTTTTTGAATTTTTGAAGCCTCATTTCGAGTTGTCAAATGAAATGTGTTTTGGAGCCTTGCAAAAGGGAGTACTCATTTTTGACTAGGAGTGCTACTAATCGAAAATATTTTGAGCAATAATAACATCCCAAAATTTCAAGGAATAAACAAATTGCATTTAATTTTTTAATTAAAGTTTAGAGATATCAGTGGAAATTTTTGGGAGCCTAGCACAATGCACCACTTGTTTATGTTCCTAGAGCGGATTCATCTCCAAAGATCTCCACAATATTTGGAGAAAATAATCAAAACCACAAAATACTATATTTAAAAAAAATGTTTATTCAATTATTTAATCCTATATCGAGATAATCGTAGGAAACGTGCTTTTGGAACTCTCTCACAAAGCACTACTCATTTATGATTCTAGGGCGGATTCAAGCCATATTTTGCAAAAACAATCAAAGCCAAAAAGAACAAGAATGAGATTTCCTCTTGTGTTCTGCAGAGTGATAAGACTGGTTGATAAATATCGTCTTGGTCTGCCTAACTGATCACTGATTTTTGTAGAAAAAGACCAAGATGATAGGTAACTACTAAACAATAAACTAGTGCTTTGTGATAGGTTTCTCAAAAAATATTGTCTTTGATTGTATCGATAAGTGAATAAAAGATTGAATAACACTTTTCAAATATATCGTCTTGTTGGATTTCGATCATTACCTCAAATATTGTTCGAGTCGTTGGTGATCAATCCGTTCTAAGAATATAAACAAATAGTGCTTTGTGAGAGGCTCCATCTTTCAATAAGTTGCTAAATAATTGAATAACTGTTTCCAGAAATATTGTGTTTCTGGGTGGTCATTATTTCCTCAAAATATGACGGAAATCATTTGTGAGATATCGCTTGAAGAGCTAACGCGAGTAGTGCTTTGGGAAAAGTTCCCCAAAGCATATTGTCTTTGGTTGTATCGATAAGTGAATAAATGATTGAATAACACTTCTCAGGATTTTCATCATTACCTCAAAATATTGTCGGAATCGTTGGTGATCAGTCAGTTCTAAGAATATAAACGAGTAGTGCTTTGTGAGAGGCTCCCTCTTTCAATAAGTTACTAAATAATTGAATAACTGATTCAAGAAATATTGTGTTTTTGGGTGGTGCTTATTTCTTCAAAATATGACGGAAATCATTTGTGAGATATCCGCTTGAAGAGCTAACGCGAGTAATGCTTTGTGATAGGTTCCCCAAAGAATATTGTCTTTGATTGTATCGATAAGAGAATAAATGATTGAATAACACTTTTCAGGATTTTCATCATTACCTCAAAATATTGTCGGAATCGTTGGTGATCAATCAGTTCTAAGAATATAAACGAGTAGTGCTTTGTGAGAGGCTCCCTCTTTCAATAAGTTACTTAATAATTGAATAACTGATTCAGGAAATATTGTGTTTTTGGGTGGTGCTNTTTAGGAGCAAACACATAGTGCTTTGTGAGACGCTCCTGAAAGAAATTTCTCATTAATCCTATCGAATAATAGAATAAAACTGTTCAAAATTATTATCTTTTTGGCTCTCTTAGAAAACCTCGCTTGTTGAGAGGTTGTCCAGTGAATATTGCTTTCAATATATTGATAAGTGATTAAATTATTGAATACTGAATGCAATACAATACTGCAATACTGAAATCCTTGGGATGAATCTGCTTTACGCATAAACGAGAAGTGCTTTGTGAGGCTATCGCCAAACTATTTTCTTTAATAACATTCCTAAGTTACTTGCATAATAGAATAAAGAATTAATAAGATCGTAGGATAATAGCATTTAATCTCCTATCGAGATAATCTTAGAAAATGTGCTTTTAGGAGCTTCTGACAAAGCACTACTTGTTTATATTTCAAGAGCGGATTTCTTAAGCGGAAGCAATAATAAAAGCCAAAAAATATAATATTTCTAAAAACTGTTATTCACTTATGCTATTTACTTTCTCACACAGCACTATTCACTCATTTGGGCTCAATTAACCTATGCCGATTTTGACAAAATTTTTAGTGGTTGATCAGGAAACACCTGGATCATTATTGTCGTAAGATTCATTTGGATTTTTCCAAAATTTATCTTTATTTTTTATCTTATATTTATCTTTAAATTTATAATATGTTTCGAATAAAAATGCCTAGGTTTTTTCCTTTTTGGCCTATATCTTCTGCAAACCATCAAATACTAGATCAATTTTTGCATTGAATAATTCGTGTAAATTAAAAAATTAATAATAATAATTTTTTTTTGAAAACTCGAGATTGACGTTCGCAGTTTTCTTTCCCTACCTGGACAGCTGGGCGGAGACGAGGTTGCTGAAAGGGGCGAATTTAGCCGGATTCCTGTACATGTCGCACACGAGACGCTCCCTGCATCCTTCTGACGTCGTTCCAAGCTGCTTAAAAACCGCGTCCAGCCTCGAAAGAAGAGGAGAATAAAACGGATCGTAGTGAGCCAAAAGTTGGGAAGATGTGGGTATCTTGTTAAAAACCTGAAATACAACGCAATCATTAACTTAACTTTACTCAGACAATCAGAGAACAAGTTGGTTAGTGGTGGATAATCATAAAATCCAATTTATAAACCACAATATGGCGATTTCGACCCGGTTGATATAAGAATAATGCTAAGTATTGGTTGAAAGGAAATGTGGGGGAAAAATGGCTTCCAGTACAAAAGGTTAAACATTTTCTCACAATCTATCATTATAACGGATGCCTCGCCCGCAATCAACAATTGAACCGATACCGATCCTTAATTATCTGTCGTTCTTTCACTCTCAACTGGGTCAGTTGTTGAGGAATAAGTAGATTCCACTTGCTCCCCTCTCGCTGGTTGCTTTTTTGGGCTATTAGAAAAAACTGCAATTATATATATATTAGAAACTGTTATTTAGACCGTCTGCTAGCTTGAAGGGTAATGAACCAGCATTAGATTGTACTAGTTTTAAGAACATCACCTGGAAAAAACTGAAAACTCAGGATGGAATAAATAATAAGCATAAATAATTAATAAAACTAATTTTTCTATAATTAGGTATGACTCTTTAGGAGCTAAAAAATATATGAAGATATGTGATTAAAAAGTAAGCTGAAGTTCAAATCTTTTGATATTGGTACAAATGTATAACAAGTTATTCTCCTGTTTTGTTATTATTATTATTATTATTATTAATTTTTAAAGGCGTTTTAACGGCTAAGGTCATTTCACGCCCTAACATCCAAACCTTCTATCTTAGGTTAGCTATATCTCTTCTGAGTGCTATAAAGCTCTGACTCCAAACATTCACTCGTAAACTAATTTATCCTATTGCCATCCAAGCTTTAATTTTTCTTTTTAAAATTCTTAATTTGGAAGGTCAAATCCCATTTTAAATTACATATAAAATTTATTTCTGTTCCTTTTTTTAAATTACAATTGTGAATTTTTGTTCCATAATTTAAACATTTCCCATAGGCTTGTATGGCTAATAATAATAATAATAATAATGGAGTCAGACTAGCAACAGCCTCAGCATGAGTATAGGCTCATCCTAATCCTTTTATTCTTCCATTCAAATATGATACATAAACTAATTCTACATAACAATAATAAGAAACAAAACACAATAACACTTCTTTTTCTTTATTTTTTTTAAGGGAGCTATTTTTCTTATTTAAATTGCGATTTTAGGCATTGCAGTTCATTACCCCGCAATTTGTATTTTCTTCCATTTCATTTTTCCGCTCCGGCAGCCTCAAAAACCTCTGAAAAAAGAAATCCTGCACGCACAACTTTTATTCAAACATTAGCAGGCATTCAATGGCATAACAATTTGGGAAAAGGCCTAAATCTCATTATAAATTCCAATAAATTTGAGAAAGCTGAAAAGTGCTCTTCGAAAGAAACACTGGGGACCCAGTAACTCCTGTAAATCACTAAAAAGGTTGAGCCTTTGCCTAAAGGGTTGTAAAGTGGGACTGTCGACCAAAATATGTTTTACAGTCAAAATGATGCGTTCTCCACTTCGCATACATCGAGGACAAGTTGGAAGATTGTTGCCTATTAAAAGCCTATTATGGATTAGCCTGATATGACCTATTCGCAATCTAGAGAGAATCAGAAGTTCTTTTCTCTCAAATTCCTCAGTTGGCCATTTATGTACAACTGGCTTAATTTCTTTCATACTATCTCTACAGACATTCCATCTTGCCGCCCACTTTCGTTTGATAATGTTTTTAACATAAACGGCTTATCATCTGGGCGAAGAGGAAATTGATCTGTTCTTTGTGCATGGTTTGCAGCGTTTCTTGCCTGTTGATCAGCTTTTTCATTTCCAGAAATGCCGACATGACTAGGAACCCAAACAAATATCACATGTTTGTTGAGAGTTCTGATTTCATAGAGATATTTGTGAATTTCTAAGATGTAAGGGTAAACCGAGAAATTATTTTTGATTGCTTCGAGACTACTTTTCGAATCAGATCAAATAATGGCATTACAAATTCCTGGCGATTCCTTTATAATGCTCAATGATCTTCTGATTGCATGAAGTTCAGCCTCATTCGATAGAGACCAACTGAAGTTATACTCATCAGCAAATATCCCACACCCTACCACTTTCATTTTTAGACCCTTATTATTATTATTATTATTAAATCCATTATATTTCGTGGTCAGATTGACCAAATAACTACTTTCTATTAATAATCTTTATGTAAGGTATTGGTTGAAATGAAAAAGTGTCATGAACGGGATTCGAACCCACGACCTTCGGCTCAATACGCTACTGCTCTAACCACTTGAGCTGTCGTGACTTCGATCCACTCGGACAGATTATTATTATTACTGATTTTTTTTTTTTTTTTTTTATGAGGGTTCGCAACAGCAAAGGTCATATCCAACCTGTCGGTGTTTTTGTATAAAAAGGCCCGTTTGAAGTATGTCGGGTTCGAATGCAGGGCCGCTGGATTCGAACCCGGGACCTTCACCTTTCAGTGATGAACGCCGTGTCAATGCACCGATGCGGCCTCCGACGCCCCCTGTTGTCATTATTACATGAAACATTTAATAAATATCCTCAGATTATAATATTTTTGTTGATACTTAGGTAAAACTTATTTTTATTCGATTCGACTTGGATAATTTCTCTCCTGACCAACTTCGCTTTTTTTAATAATAAGGTTGTTTTCAAAGAAAAAGAAATGGGTCATTTTCTTGAGGAAGGTTGAGGCGGAATTTCACTTACCGGCCTTCTCTACCAAAGAAGCTAAGCGTAGTTAATTAATTACCTTGAAGTCCGAATGGGGGTCCTTCGAGTAGAAGCTTCCGAAGTGCTGTTTCACCTGCAGCGACGGCAGCTTAGACGTGAACCTGAAATTTAAAAAAAAAATTAGAAAAATCGGGACTTAATCGAAATGATATTGGTGTTAATCACGGCGTTCCTATGTGTGTGGGGCTTGAATAATAAATCGGCGGGACTTGGAAGTGGATCAAGCCGAGGCATCGATTGCCTGCCCCGAGAAGAAATTACCGGGAAGCTATAAGAAAAATTGGCTTTCGAAATGGGATCAATTCGACTTGCTAATTAGCCAGTTTTAATCTTAACTTATCTCCGAAACTTCACCATTGGCACAGATTAAAAAAATTGATTCAGAATCCTTGGCATGCTTTAGGCAATATATACTTTACGGTTTATACGAAAACAGAAGAAAAACTACAGTGCTTAACTAACAATATTATATTTAAACCGACAAAAAGTGCCTGTATAAATTGATATTTAAACACACACACACACACACTGCCAGATTTTACATTTGTTTATAGTCAAGGAGAAAAAATAAACTTTTTTTAGGAGGGAGTTACCAATTCAAAAATTGAAAAGGATGGTTCTACTCATGAACTGATTTTCAAGAGACAGGGATTTTGAGCATTGCTCATCATCAAAACTAATATCGACATCTATTTAACATACTATCAAGTAGTCACTTCAGACTATTTGCATAGTCCGATGTGGAGCATTTAATGTTCGAAATCCGGATCCTGTTAAACCTATTGAGTGAAACCATGTTTCAACTATTGCGTTTTTACCGTCGAAAATTTGAATTTGATCAGAAAAACGCTTTTCTCGGAAAGTTTTTTTTAAGTACATTTTTCTCGTAAGCACTTCATCATATTGAAACGATTTTTTTTTTTGTCCATTTTGTAGAGCAATAGTTAAGCGATCGTAAAGGATCTTTTTAAAAAACACACTGAAGCGAAGAAATAATTTATTTGATTACAAGAAATTGTAAAAGTGTGTGGTGACCGTTAGTCAATGATTGAGATGCGATGAGATCGTGAGATGCGGTCTGGTTTGACGTAGGTTTTAGAAAAACATTTTCTTTGCCGTCTCCAACGTTTCGATCTTTATTGAGATCATCTTCAGGGCTTAAAGTGTTTGTTTTCCGAGTAGATGTGTCATTGTTGTCTGTCGTGTTGAGAGTGATTGTTGTGAGTGTTGATTTTCAACACGACAGACAAGAATGACACATCTACACGGAAAACAAACACTTTGAGCCCTGAGGATGATCTCAATAAAGATCGAAACGTTGGCACGATAAAGAAAATGTTTTTTTTAAAACCTACGTCACACCAGACCGCATCTCACAGCCTCCAAATAATCAAAGTGTAAAAGTTTGTCACGACTTTAGGTTGTTCCCTAAAATGAACGATTCATTATTTTTACAAACACTTGAATAGCGCAAAACGTCCTCTAGGTTAAGTACTTCTATTGAGATAAATGCTTCATGCAGAGACACCTTACATTTTTTAGTCAAAGTGATCCATTGAGCCAACCATGAACATTTCTTCTTTTACATTTTCTTTTGCAATAACATTTATAAATCTATGTTCGTATAGTATCTATGCATCTAGTTGGCGCGAATTTATATGAATTGGATCCAGCTGCGTTTCTAAATACTACGTAACCAGAAAGGTTCGTGCGGTTTTTCTCGTTTGTTATTGTTTTAATACCAATGTGTTGGCCAATTCATTGTGTTAATCCCTATGTCCTCCATTTAATGGGTGACAACTCGAGCTAGCATTAACACGAAGTTGTAAGAGATCCATGTTCCATTCCGTATGATAATCATTTTGGTACGGGCATGGACTCCACCCCACACCTTAACTGACTGTCTTTGAAAAGGCTGTGGCCCAAGGTAGTTGAAGAACAAGAAGCACATGAAGAACGCTTGTACTCTAAGTCTTCTCCCCACACGGTCCTCCTCAACTGATTGCCACAAACCAAACCGAAAAAGAACTGATTTTTTTAAATTTTTAATCTAAAGAGTATGAAAGGATTAATAACATATACAAAAAGGTAAACAAAAATTTATGTTATTAATGTTGTGTTTACTTTTTATGTAAACTAATAATGATAGTAACTAATAATAATAATTCCTAGTTATTATGTAAAATAAACGAAACAAGAGTCCGCTTTTTGGCTTTGAGTGAATATACATAAATTTGTGATTTAGCTTAAGTATAGTGAACTCCTTGGAGACGGCAGAAGCCATGTCAGTTTTTTGGCCCAATTTCAAACATTTATTTGTTACTGTAAATAACTCCATTATATTTAGTGGTCTATTGACCAAATTACTTCTTTCAATTAATTAATCTTTTTATGAAAGGTTTTGATCGTAATGAAAAAGTCAAGTGTCACGAGCGGGATTCGAACCCACGAACTTCGGCTGGGTATCCGCTGGGCTGGTCTGTGAGGCATTTACACTTTGAGATGTCACCAACAACAAATAGTCTTATAAACTTTTTTTTTAAAGAGAAAATTGCCCTTTTTCTTACTTTTCAATCTTATTTTAATTACAATAAGAAAATGGTTTATTTATTTTGAGAGTACATTGCAAATAGAATATTACCCCTCTTGTTATGTTCCAATAGCAGTATGACAATAAAACCACTTGTTTTGTTTGTATAATTTGTATTTTTTAAATTTGCATAAACCTAAAAAACATCCTTCAGAAAATTAGTAGAGAGTTGGTGTCCGAGAGGGTCGAAGTCACGATAGCTCAAGTATTAGAGCAGCGGCGTATTTAGCCGAAGGTCGTGGGTTCGAATCCCGCTCGTGACACTGACTTTTTCATTTCGACCCAAACCTTACATAAAAAGATTAATTAATCGAAAAAACTGTAACTATTAATAGTTATTCATTTTATTTCACGTATGTGATTTTAGACACTGTGATGGTGAATCAGTATTGACATGGAGGGAATTTCCGATGAGATTGAACAAATTTGATGATGAGACATGAATTATATAAAAGACTTCCCGATTCAGTATTATGTGTGTTGTGAAAAGGCATTGCTCTCTAGGTTTTCTTATTTTATATGGTCGATTAAACTCAAGCAGTATAGAAGTGGTGGTGATTAGAACTTCTTGGGAGATTTCGTGTTCACAGTCCATTTAGGCGATATGTTAACGGATCTTTATGTCTGCTTCATAAAAGTAAGCTCATACGGCGAGCAGGAAGAGTGAAAAAGGGCGTGGACGAAGAGGTCTGGGCATCTAGGTCTACCGGAAACAAGGCTGCAGTCACCCTGCATTCATAGCCCACTCTCGTGCACTTTCTAATGAAAATCTCCCTTTTTACCGGGGCGTCGGATGCCTAATCATATTTTCCCCTGGCTACGGTTTATTCCGGTTTATAAATTTTAATTGCCCTCAAATAAATGTTTTGGAAGTGAATCGAGAAAGGTTTGCGTTATATTTTACAATTCCGCCCTAATTTCTCCGAAGCGAAAAAAAATCACCATCAAAATGGCTATAAAACAAATTTCTAGTCAATTTAAATTTTTCAATTCGCTTTGATGCGAATTTTACGGCTATAACGAATTATGCTGAATGCTCAGAAAGACTGAAAATCGCATTATCTAATAGAACACTTTGATCGGCCGTCGCTAATCATGTTTGATACGCTCTCCTAAACTGCTCTGTCACGAACATCAATACTGATTTTTTAACACTCTCTCCTACCGTCTTTGTGTTCAAGTGGATTGCAATTAAGTGATAAACAATTGTTATCGATATGCAAACTCGAGATGCTTTCGTAGGTCGAATAGAAACTGCCAAAATATCTAGCATTAAATACTTTAAATCCAATGGTCCGATTGACCAAATAACTTTTTTCAATTAATTAATGTTTGTGTAAGGTATTAATTGAGATACAGAAGTCAGCGTCACGAGCGGGATTCGAACCCACGACCGTCGGCCTTAAAAAATGAAGTATATCTTCACTAAAGCTCTCCATGGCCATTTCATTTGTCGCCGAGAATCGAATAGAATGCACGACATTTGAAAAATGGCAAAAAGGAGAGAAAATTCGAAAGGTCGGTTGAGATGGAAAGTTGGTGTCCGAGTGGATCTAAGTCACGATAGCTCAAGTGGTAGAGCAGCGGCGTATTTAGCCGACGGTCGTGGGTTCGAATCCTGCTCTTGACGCTGACTTTTTTCAACCAATACCTTACATAAAGGTTAATTAAATATTTTAATTAATAACCATTATTTAATAAACAGGATAACTGATAACTTGAATTGGTGTAAATCAGCATTGAACAAACATAATTGGACCGACTGCTTTTTTTTCTAAATAAATCATTTTCCGTTAAATTAATATATAAAGCAGAATGTTGTTTTAAAGTTCTGTCTAATTAAAAATCGTTTGAAATAAATGAGTAAATTTTTCAACCATGACTGGCCAAATCAGCGAGACTAGACGGACGATAAAAGTACGGGTTTAACACCTCGCTTACCTTAACGAAACAGGGGTTCACGGAAACTGTGCTAATCGTTTTAGCTTGTAAGTCGAGAATCGGCAACAAGGCAGTTTAAAGGGTATAATCTAGCATATCCACTTTACTTTTTTTACTTTGGAATTTAAAAAAAGCAATTAATCATTAAAAAAAACACAAAACTGATCCGAACGTCGGCTAGCTACATTTAGCATTTGAAAATCTAAAAAGGTCGTTTACATATATTTGTATAACTTTAATGCTCGATTAAAGGATCTAAAATGACTTTAATAGATCAATTTAAATATAAAATAAGAAAGCAGAAAAAAAAGTGATCAGCCACTCGACCAATTAAAATTCTAAACAGCGATAACAGTTATTTTGATGCAAAGTCAAACATTTTAAAAAGCGATGCCCGATAGAAGAAAAATTATAAGCAATATTAATTTGATTTAACACTTAATTTCTTCGAGTCCTGTAACGGTCTGGGCAGGAATTTCGAATAGCCCCGAAACCCAGATGCCGCCAGTGAAGGTGTATTGGTAAAATCCGGACGATTTCAGAACCGACATACTTGACTTCGTCTAATAGAAGAGAAAATACGTAGAACATTTGTTTGTTATGCTGGAAAAAATATCCTTTGGAAATTGTCTCCAGCATAACTGTCAAATTAACGTTTTATCAAGTTTTGAATAATCTGGCTCGTTTCTGTTAAATCACTATTTATACAAACAGACAAAAACACAGATACAAAGTAATTAACAAATAAGATCTCTCCACTCTTCTCTCACTCTCTCACTCTCTCTTTCTCTCATTCTCTCTCTCTCTCACTCTCACTCTCTCTCCTTCTCTCTAACTTTATCTGTCTCCCTCTCTCTCTCTCTCTCTCCCATCTCTCTCTGCCTCTCTCCGTCTCTCTCTCTGGGCTCTATCTCTCTCCTTCTCTCTCTCTCTCACTCTTTATCTATGACTCTGCCTCTCTCCCTCGCTCTCTCTCTCTCTCTCTGACTTTATCTGTCTCCCACTCTCTCTCTCTCTCTCTCTCTCCCATCTCTCTCTCGGCCTCTCTCCGTCTCTCTCTCTGGACTCTATCTCTCTCTCCTTCTCTCTCTCTCTCACTCTTTCTCTATGACTCTGCCGCTCTCCCTCTCTCTCTCTCTCTCTCTCTCTCTCCTTTCTCTCTCTCTCTGACTCTCTCCCCCTATCTTTCTATCTCTGTCTCTCCCCCTCTCTCTCTCCTTTCTCTCTCTCTCTGACTCTCTCTCCCTATCTTTCTCTCTCTCCCTCTCTCTCTCTCTGGCTCTATCTCTCTCACTCTTTCTCTATGACTCTGTCTCTCTCCTTCTGTCTCTCCTCTCTCTCTGACTCTACCTCTCTCCCTATCACTCTCTCTCTGTCTCTCTGACTCTATCCTTCTCCCTCTCTCACTCTTTTTCTATGACTCTGCCTCTCTCCCTCTCCCTCTCCCTCTCTCTCTCTCCTCTCTCTGAATCTCTCTCTCCCTCTCTCTCTCACTCTCTCTCTCTCGCTCTCTCTCTCTCGCTCTCTCTTTCCCACCTTATCTTTCACTCTCTTTCTCTCTCTTCCTCTATTTCTCTCTATCTATCTATGTCCCTTTCATTCACCCTTTCTTTGTCTCTCCCTTTCCCTCCACGTCTTTCACTCTCTCATCTCTCTCTCCCTCCCTTCCTCCCTCCCACCCTCTCTCTCTCTCTCTCTTTTACATATTTCATCATTTTCATCAATATGAACTGACTCATTGATCTCACTGGAAATACGCAATATGTAAAATTACATACACAGGTAAAAATTGTATGTACACATACACACACACACAAATACAGACATATATTTGGTAGTTCGTTCGATTTCGATTTGATTTAGTCTCTCACCATTTTCAGCGATGACTCTGTTGATAATGTAGAGAAGCTGAAACGTGTCTGACAGACCAAAACTATCAAAAGCGGATAGGCAGACCATAATGATCGGAAAAGACAAATTGCGTTGTTTACTTGAGAAATGTGGATAGTTTAAATCAGGGTCTTTTGCCATATAAATAATCTTGACTGGTGTTGAACGAAAGTAAAAAAATGCAAACCAGTCTTTAAAGAGGCCATCAATTCAGTTTATTGATCATTTTTCAACAAGAACTTCAAGAAGGAGAAAGCTTTTTCTCGTGTTATTTATCTTACGTATTTTTTTTTAAATGTACCTTTCAGTAAGTGTTTGCGTCGGCTTGCCGAGCGACGACGCCGGAAGGACACCGATCTGGTAGCCAGGAGTCCTTCCAGGGTTGAGGGCAGCTAGGGTGGCGTGAGCGTTGCTCTGGGCTGGCATCGCCCAAGAGGCCATCCCTTCGGATCCTGCTGGCTCAGCGTCGTAGCCGCCTGCACCTCCTGTTGGATCTTTGAACTCGAAGTCGGCCACTTGGTCGTGAGACCCGGAGGAGCCGGACTGGGTGGCCACGTTGGTCAGCCCTTTGCCGACGAGCTTGCCGATGTGGCTCAGGATCGTCGGGAGGAAAAGGGCGACCAGGACCGATTTGACTATCTGCGCACCGATGAACAGAGGAAGAAGAAGCTTCTTCAGGCCGAACGCCAAGAAGCCGAGACCGAATCCGGTCAAAAACGAATTCTTTCCGAACGCCATACGAGCTGGAAAAAAATTTACAACATTATTGACCATTCATACCAAAAAAATATAACAGAAATTTCCATAAAGAAATGAATGAAGATAACTCTACAATGGATCTGTGACCATTGGTTATTAAGGCAATAAAACAGAAGATCACCTGGCTAAACTTCCTTCAGACCTTTAACTGCCCACTTTAACTTGATATAACATTGCTAAAACAGTAATGAAGAAAAAAACACAACAAAAATGTTCACTCATCTTTGACCTGAAGATTAAAGAAGAATCATTATCAAAACAATAGCTTTTACCCACGACTTCGTCCATGCGGGACTCTGTTTCTATGCACCTTTCTAATGCGATGCAGCGTGCAGTAGCCTTTAGACCTTTCCACCTCAATACTAAAAGCTAAATATAGCAGAAAAATAGTTTACAGATGGTATTTTTACAAAACCCCAAAAGTACAGTTATCGGTGAAAGAAGCTACAAGATAAATGCCAAAAGCTAGCAGGGAACTGAACCAAGGGCCTCTATGGGACAAGAATCACAAGACACAAAATCAAAGATCATCACGTCCTAACGATCATGTTTCCCAAAATAATAAAAGTTTATTGGGGGCGGCGGTGGCCGCAATGGTTTAGGCGTTGACACGGCGTTCTTCACTGTAAGGTGTAAGGTCCAGGGTTCGAATCCAGCGGCCGTCTATTCGAACCTAACATACTTACAAATGGGCTTTTTGTTCAAAAACACCGGCACCCCGAGGATCGATACTTCGATTTATGATGTTTATTGACAATAAGCCTTTCCTAACAATTAAGAAATAGTTACTAATCTTTTCGAAAACTTAAAAACCCTGGCATTTTCTAATTGAGACCATTCAATAAGTATAAGTTCTACATTTGTACTTTGTAAAACATATATTTTTAAAGGCTTTTATATAGGTTATTAATTGGTTCGACCGAGACTACTTTCCATAATCTGAACAGGACGATTAGAAACGTTCAAAGTACAGGTCTATTACCTATAAGACATCAGCTTTTTTCCTTTCAGTGCTCAGCCACTTCCAAATTTGCCATGTATTTATCGATTAGCTGATGGGTTTGTGACCAGAAACCTCCAAAACCGAGTCGCCCCAGCCCGACAGCGGGTATCCCGATCCCTCTCTTCCCAGGAGAATTAGCATTTCATGGAATCAGAAACCTATCCCAGAGTGTGCATGTGTGCCGTACACTGGCCTTAGGCTCATGTTACCCTGAGAGACCATGGACGACCCTAAAGGGCCAGGACCTCCATGGCGAAAGTTTCTTAAGACAACACTATAATCGCGAAATAGAGGTGTGTGTGTGTGTGTGTGTGTGTGTGTGTGTGTGTGTGTGTGTGTGTGTGTGTGTNAGAGAGAGAGAGAGAGAGAGAGAGAGAGAGAGAGAGAGAGAGAAGTTAGTGAGGTATGAACTTGAAGTATATAAAGAACACGATCGACAAACATTACATGACAAACTAGCTTTCAAATTTAGTGCAGTAATTGATGTATATAAACAACTGTAAAAAAAACTAATGGTTTAAGGCGTGGTGCATAGGATATTTGACTAGGATGTATTTTATCTAGGTCATTCCCTTATGACATCTAAACAAACAACCGCCACCCAAAAACCCGAATGGAATATGGATCATGGGTAGAGGGTGCTGACATGCGGAAACTAACTTGACCCTAACGGTCTGGATTCCGATGCGTTTCGTAATCGAGAAGAACGGACGGCCAAAATATTCGTATAGTTCTAATAGTAACGGGTTGATACGTTGATTTATTAGCCGACGTTGGAATAAATGGAATTCCCTCTGTGGATGCGGTGCCCCAAAGCCCATCTGTACGTTGTCAAAGAAAACATTCGAGAGTTAGAAAGTTTTTAGGAAGTGTCAGAGGCCGAGCTTGAAAGCCTTGGGACGCTCCACTTACCGTCAGCTGCTCAACGTGCACGAAGAGACGTGTATCTCTTAATTCTTTTAATTAAACTAATCGTGGTAGGATCCGGCCTTGGTACGACCGCCGGCAGGTTACAACCCTCTAGAACCTTAGAATTGACCTATTAAATTTTTTATGATTATACCGAGATCAAAGGATTCAATTTTACTCCATTTAAAAGTAAAGCCATCAAACTCTCAGTAATTTTCCACTCTCCAGGGTTCGTAAAACAACAAATAAAGTTTACAATACATTAATTTTGTAAAACATTAGTTGCTGATGGGGTGATATGAAACTGATGGGATTAAACGAATCTGAAGCTTTTAATACCGCGCCTTCAACAATTGGGTTGTTCGTCCTCATTTCACTAACTGTACTGACAATTTACATTTTCAGGTATTTAAAATGGCGAAATGCTAAAAAGCGTTCAATAGACAAATCCCTCCGGAAAAAGGAAGATGAAAGAAGATCATCATTCAGCACTAACCATTAGTGTGATGTTCTTCGTGCTTCTTCAATAATGGTGCACAAAGTAAAAATTTACACAGTCACGTCTTCTGAATTTTTATCACACCTAACGTTGTCACGTAGAGGCGTTTTGTTCAAATCCTTATTTAGCTTTTGGCATTTCTTGGCATCTTGTAGCTTCTATTATAACAAAAACCATCTGTAAACTATTTTTCTGAAATGTTTCGTTTATAATTTTTAATTTAACTTGAAAAGGTGGCTTGTCTAGTTTATAGAATGTAGGTGAGTTAAACTAGAAGAATGAATATAGAGAAAAAAAAACACAAAATACAAACCTACTAATAAAAAAATCCCCAAAAGAACATGTAACATCCAGCTCGTTCGAAACCCCACGGAATGGCGTGGAAAATAATAGTCAACAGAAAAAATACGGAATTTATAAATTTACAAGCAATGCTATAAATAAATCTCCTCTTTGGACGAAGGTGAGCACGTACTTGTTCCGAAGCACGCAACATTTTGTTTAAGGCGACTTGTATGAGCAGTAGATGCCGTAGATTAAAAATTCGATTTTATCTTTTATTTTATAAACTGGTCCGCCTATTTTCGCTGCTTCTGTCCGACAATTTTCGATATTTTCCTTTTTTTTTAAATGGTGAAATGGTAAAAGTCGTCAAATCTTTCTTGACAAGGCGGACCAGGATGAAAAATATTCAACGCTAACTTTTCGCTTGATGGCTTCAGTGCATTCGGCACCGCCTATTTTCACTGGCGTAGTCCGACAAGTTACACAATTTAAAATTAGTTTGGCCGAATGTTGAAAAGCGTCCGATCGACAAATCTAGCGTTATAAAGCGAACCAGGATGAAATGACAACATGATCCAAGACTAACATTTGTGATGACATCCATCATTAACCTAGTCACTTTGGTTGGTTAACTGGTTCACTTTACTACTGCTACACCTTTTCCTGCTATATAGATTTACCTGTTGGACGCGTTTTAGATTTTTGCTAATCACTAAATGTCGTAACTTGTCGGACAAAACCAGAGAAAACGGGCGGTGCCGGATGCACTGAGATCGTCAAGTAAAAGGTTAGTGTTGAATGATCATCTCACATTTTATCCGCCTTTTCCCCGCTAGATTTGTCGATCGGGCGCGCTTTAGAATTTCGCCATCCTTAATAAATTAAAATGCAACTTGCCGGGAAAAAAACAGCGAATATAAGCGATCAAGGATGCACTGAGATCATCCACCTAATGGTTAGTGCTGAATGGTGGTTTCCTTTCATCCTCGTCCATCTTTTCAAGCTAGATTTGTCTATCGGACACGTTTGAGCATTTCTCCAGCCTAACCACTTACAATTTTATCAATTTTTCGGACAAAATCGGGAAAAATAATCGGTTCTGGTTGCTCTGAGACTATAAAGCTATTGTTAGTGAAGACTAGTGGTCTCCTTTCGAACTACGAAATCAGCGAAAACAGGTGGTCCTGGTGGATTCACTTAGGCCATCTTGCTAAAGGTTAGGCAGAATGATGGTTAACTGTTACAAAAGTTATAAAAATTTACCTATTTTGACGATGGTTATACCAAAGATAAAATTAGCTAAATGCAAGCTAATCTTTTATGTTATTGGATAGTATGTTAGGTCATTTGTTAAGGTCCTATTGGAAACGATGACTGATTAGTAGTCGGCATAAACTAAGACTTTTGTTTCATTGGTTTGTTATAATCGTTTTCAATCTTCACTTTTGTAAAAGTTCATTCGAGTAGAGCAGCATGCCAGTTTAGTAGTTGTCACTGTAACCTCGAAGGAGAAATCTCCGTTAGCCGCCTCAGGGGGCAATCGGCCGGCAGATGTCATTAACAACGACGTGTGGTTACCATTTGACTTACGTGATTTTATGAAATTGGACGTCGCGTTGGCGATCGAGGTCAGCGGGATGTCCATAATATAGTGATTTGCTATGAAACGTGCGTCCGCCGACGAGAAGTCCGGCCAGTCCTCCTCGGGCTCGGCGGCGTTGACTTTCTTCGACTCTTCGGCATTTTCGACTAAGTTGGTCGCCAAAGCGAGATCAGACGATTGGTGAGGATTTTCAGAAACAATGGACGGCCCAACAGCCGCCGGAGGGATAGTGGTCGCCTCTCCTGCTGTTGGATCACCCAAAGTCCCTCCTGCCAGAAGCAGTAGTAATATAATCATTCTCAACTGAACATCTCTGCCTGAAAAAAAAACAGTATTAATGAAATTTCATCAACAAGTTTTCAAAATAAATATCAAATACAGGGTAAAAACTAAAAAGTTCTTAATTTTAAACTTTGAAATTTCATCATGGGGTCTACTGGATCATTATGATTTCTCTATCCTCCTTGGTCAGAAAGACCGGTACCCTGGTAGACAGATCAAATTCATCGGAGACGACCAAACAAAAGTCCAATTTTTAATTAACTCACTTAACTATTAACACTGAGCCGCAAAAATTACTTTCATCGGTGCCTACAAAAGTACTACTGTTCCTTTATGAGCGAGCAGTTATAAATATTAAACAACTGTTATTTATTAGCCTGATATCTAACTCAGGGAAAGCGCTGTAAATTCAACCAACTAAAATTAACATTATGTTTTCTGTATGTAACCAACCTTAAACATTTTCTAAGGAATTCTAATGTTGGCTCTTTGAGTACCATCATTAGATATAGGTATCTAAGGTAATCTAGTTTTTCAAGTTTGTTTAATCTATTCTTACAAGTTTATTATTACTATTTTTTCTCTCCACGTTTAGTTATGTTATAAGTTGATGGGTAAGAAATTTATTGTCTTTTCCACAATAATACTTTCCTATCTATCACCTCATTAAGGAGTTCAACAAAATTAGGATGGACACCTTTAAAAAATTACTAATGTTATGTTCTCCGTTCAGTAGTTTTCACCTCATGCCTTTTCTTTTATCATTGTATTGCTGGCAGCCATAAAACAGGATCTACCTCAAGGGTGACTGTAACTCCAACTTTTTTTACATAAATGTATATATTTTTCTTTTGTACTAGGAAATTTGTACCCATTGTATCTTTTTTTCTGTATTATGTATTAACCTAATAAAGTTGGTGAAAAACAGTTAAAACGTAATAATGTCTTTATTCGAGAAATGGCAGCACGACATTTTTAATTAATTTATCTTTAATAAAAGCCTTGATGATGATGATTTGGGTATGTACTAAGACCCGGAGACAGACAGTATTCTCCAAGCACTTCAATCTCTTCTGTAAGCAGTAGGTCATTGACTATCATTGTTGCAATTCTTTTGGCCGGATCATCTTGCATTCATAATAATATGGGTGGCAGTTTCTTCTTCATCATTGCATGACCTACAAATGAGGTCATTATTGAACATATATCCATGTTGTGTAAGGTGGTTTCTTAGATGCCAATGATCCCTAGAGACTAGGATCTGTAAATCTATAGAGTTTTACCCTTTTTAGATGTAGCAATGTGTTCGTTTTAACGATTTAACGATTTCTTTAAACATCTCTGACACCTATAAAGTTCGTTGATCTCTCCTTTTGCTTTGTGTAAACCCATCGTTGAAAATACCCTTGTTGTGTGGAAGTATCTTCTCAGATGCTAGTGACCCCAGAGCTTTTTGAATCGACGTGGTTTACCTTGCTTAGATATGTTTGATCTTGTTATCATAATTAGGTTCTGGGCCTATAGTTGTTCTTGCAGATCCTCTGTCCTATGTGTCCGCTTGTTTATTACCGAAATATGTCTGTACCCTGGCACCCATGTTAATGCGATTTTCTCCTGTAGAACCTGTAATTTGATCCTTACCGATCATCTCGTTCTGCCTAACCTCGCTGGGGTAGTGTTTCAGATGTTTTGAAATTTCGTCATCTTCAGTGTTGGTTTTTTGGCTAATTGCCTAAACATTCTGACAGACGAACCCAGCGAGGATAGTGAGGTCATTCACCGACCATTCTGGCAGTGATTTACGTGCTTTTACATTTAGTGCTGCTCGGCTTTTTGATCTTAGGAGAATTTTTTCTCAGCCTCTATGAAAATTTTCTATAGTACAAACATTGATAGCAAGTATTTCAGCTTGAAAGACCGAGGTGCACTTGCTTCAGTTTGATTGCTCATATTTTGTTTTGCATAGAATACATCTGACTTTGTTCAACATGGGTTTTGGTGCCTTCGGTACACCATATAATTGTATTTGTTTTTCTCTTGATGTTTTCTTCCCATTTCTGAAAATTGTACAGGTTGTTGCAAATGATGTAACCGGGGTCATTTAGTACGTTTAGAATAATTGATGCCTGATTTTATTTGTTATTGCACCACTAAACTTACAATTATTGCTCAACCATATTTTTGCAATATAATTATTAGCATTTAATTATTTACGCTACAATGGTACATAATTTATTCATACGTTTAGTTTTTAGAAGATGAAAGTTTCTTTTTAAGATTAGCCATCTGTGCTTGACAAATAGGTAAGGCGAACGCGACACGATTAAGTTTGTACATAACAGAATCAATAATGCATCTCGATGGAGATCAAGATAAGATAAGTATTGGGAAAAATACCTTTCAATCGTTAAAATCATTATGATCATCAGTCGAGTGTTAACGGCTTTGGCGTCATTATGTGAATCAATTGTGAGGGATCTGACCCGGATAAAAAGCCCACTTTTAGCCGACTCTTGAACCCGGCGTCAATCACATCGCCAACTTACCTCAAACGTCCGGTAAACTTTCACTCCAAAACGTCGCAGAATAAATAGAAAGGTGGCCAGTAGGGTCGTCTCCTTTTCAGCTTTGTGAGTCGGAAAGAAGCAGATTTCTAATGTCAACCTTGCAATGAAAAAAGCCGTCCGCCTCTGTAACCCGAAAAGAAATACGGACTCCTACAATCTCATTGTAGTTATGCTGCTAACCTATTTTTCCTCTTATTTCTTTCTATATTCGCCCATTTTATATATCCTCAGTGGTTTTTAATTCAGTTGAAACATTTATGAAAGTCATAGGGCTAGAAGCCAGAAGCATTTTTCTGTGAATTCCAACATCAGTTTAGAAACGTTAGCAGAGAGCTTAATTCAAAAGTGCTGCCGGACGTTGGTATCCAAAGAATTTAGCTTGGTTTACAAATTTAAAACCACATTCAAACTATGTCTGAACCCTTGCACATAACTTGGAGGTATTAGCTTTTATGACTTAGTCGAATTAAAGTCCTCTTCAAAACCAACATTGGAGAATTATTCACCATTTGCATTTTAGGTCAGACTCTCCTTTCATCCTTGGCGTATATTGAGTATGATAATCTTAACACATCTTTTTAATAATAAATATTAATCTCTCTCTCTCTCTCTCTCTCTCTCTCTCTCTCTCTCTCTCTATCTATCTATCTATCTATCTATCTATCTATCTATCTATCTATCTATCTATCTATCTACCTATCTATCTATCTATCTATCTATCTATCTATATGTCTATCTATCTTTATTTCTTTCTGTCTTTCTCTTTTTCTCTGTCCCCATACACCACACACAAAAATTCTTCCTCTATCTCGTACTCTACAGCTTTTTGTCTTTATTTTCTCCGTCACTCTCTCTGTTTCTCTCTCTCTCTCTCTCGCACATCTTTTCTAAAGTCCTCAATTTTCCATCAACGAGAAAAAGTTCTTCAGAGTATCTTAGCACATCTTTTTAAAAGAAAATAAATATTTAGTGTTCTCTCTTAATTTCACCCTCTCTCTCTCTTTCTCTCTCTCTCTCTCTCTATCTATCTATCTATCTATCTATATGTCTATCTATCTTTCTTTCTTTCTGTCTTTCTCTTTTTCTCTGTCCCCATACACCACACAAAAAAATTCTTCCTCTACAACTCTACAGCTTTTTGTCTTTATTTTTTTCTCTCCCTCTCTCTCTCCCTCCCCCCCCTCTCACTCTCTCTCTCTCTCGCACTTCTTTTCTAAAGTCCTCAATTTTCCATCAACGAGAAAAATATCTTCTGATTATATTAGCACATCTTTAAAAAAAAAAAAATTTAGTTTTCTCTCTTAATTTCACTCTCTCTATCTCTCTTTATCTCTCTCTTTCTTTCCTTCTCTCTCTCTCTCTCTCTCTCTCTCTCTCTCTCTCTCTCTCTCTCTCCTCAGGTGATTAAGGATAAAGTTCAATTAAACAATTTATCTATGATTGATTTATCTTGATAAGTTGGTTAAGCTCTATAAATCTTCGCTTTTTAAAAGATAAAACATAAATTAATCCTTAATTAGTGTAAAATGTAGAGGCAATTAGAAAAAAGTTCAACTTTAATTATTTAGTGAACATCAATGCCACTCAGAAGGAGACACAAAAATAATAATTAACCAACTAAATTTAATTAGTCTCTTTCCTATCCTTCGAGAACCCTTCATGCGGAGTGAATTTAAAACAAAAACCCCTCCAGAATCTCTAATTATTTTTAATTGTCTTGACCGAATTAGAATTGTTTTGATCGCACCTCTATGCGGGGAATGCGCCACTTGGGCAGACACGAGTTGAACATAAATGGCAAATGGCAAATGCAGTTCCGTCTGCAGCTCTTACAACCCGTGACACTTCGGCCTTTTTATTTCGGAGTGGAGAGTCATGTCAGGGGAGGTAGACAAACGGTACGCCTGTTAATAGATGCTATTCTAATTTTGGCTTACTTTTCACCCATCCCCGAATATTTCCGTTCCTCTTTTACAATTTTTTAAGTGAGACTTTTAGCATGCAGAACCTTCAGTCGAAGTGCCATCTTTCTGACGGACTGATAGTCACTTGTAATATTCATGTTTTCAAATGATTATTTATTGGTAAAATATCTACAGAAAGGTGAAAAATAAATAACTTAACAATAATTTGTAAATAAAGCTAATAATGAATTAATTAAAGAATTCAAAGTATACACGTACAATGTAAGAAAACTGAAAACCAAAATTTCTTATAGTGTCAAATGAATATGAAAAAGTCCGCCCCAAGTCACTTTTTTATTATGTGTTCATTTTCAATCTTAAGTTAACAGTTTGTAGTATTTATTTACTTAACTTTCATTTACTTTTTGGGACAACCCAACCCGGATAAAGAATAAAAAAAGAACATTTTGCCTAGTATTTAAATATATAGCCAAAAAGATTGGATAACTATAAATTAAAAACGATCATGGCCAATTGGCTAATCAGATTAATGCACATGGTTCC